CAGAGCTAAGAGCCTGCGAGCCATCGTTGGCATTACCTGCTCCAAAAAAAGGCTCGTTAGAGGAATCAGGTATCGCTCCCTGTGTTCTGCCCAAATGCACATCGGGGAACGCCACCTGCTTTTGCAGCTTGAGGAACAGTAACGCCTCCAGATTGGGAAGCCCATGTGCTGTACTCAACCTGTTAGAGCAGATAGGCGCTCTGAAGCGTTTTTAAGGCTCCAGTGCACACCAGCGCCCCGTCCTCTCCTGCTGTCTGCAGGCAGCTGGGATCCAGAAAGCCACAGAGCATTCCTGGGGGAGGAAGCCGCAAGCACAGGCCCCGGGGATGAGTGTGAGCACAGAGAGGTAAAACACAGCCATCCAGGCAGCAGCAATGGCTGCAGGTGGGACCAGGCACCCTCCTCCTCCCCTGCTCTGCCGAAACACCACTGCTGCCAGCGCCACATAGAGCTGCCACGGCCTTTTACCACCTCCCCTGGCAGGGACACTGTGAGAGCCTCGGGAATAACTTCCCTCATCCCCAGCAGTGACAGTTGGGAAGGTCAAACCCATTTTGGTGCTGTGCTCAGACTGTCACCTAGCAGAGGCCTTCATGAGAGGACAGGTTAGAGCTGTGCCACCTGCCAAGGGTCAGCATTCTGGCTTTGCCAGTGGGAACCCCAAACCCCTCACAGGCACTGGGGAGTCACCAGCAACAGAGGAGGAGCTGTGCTCCCAGCCGGCACCAGCTCAGCTCCTCTGCATTCAGCTCACCCAGGAGGGGCATCGCTGCGCACCCTCCTTGGGTTAGAGGCGCCGGGATGCGTGAGCCAGCACCAGGCTGCCCAGGGGAGCGTCCGGACGGGAGAGTGCCCTGGGCAGCCCTTGACAGGAGCAAGGGACAGGTTTGGGTGAAGTAGAAATCTGGGGGAGGGGGTTCTTACTTCGTAGATTTCTGTTACCTCAGACAGAGGGACCGGCTCGCTGAAGATGTTGCCCGTGTCTTTCTCCTGCAGCTGCTCGAGCGTCTTGCGGAGGAGGATGAGGAAGGGGGTCAGCTGCATTTCCAGTGCCACCTGCTGCACTTTGATCTGAAACAGAGGAACGGAGTAGGGCTGAGCCCCTGCCCAGCAGCCAGGCGGTGGGCACAGCCCCCAGGGAGCAGCAGTGCTGTCCTGCAGGACGGCGACAGCTCCCCTTGCACGAGGGGCAGGGACTGCACCTCACCCCCGTTTCTGGGGAGTGGAGGGGTAACGCTGGCTCCAGCACCTCGCGCCCCACCTCAGCCTTGCAGAGCAGCCACCTTTGCTCAGAGCCAACCGGGGCAGGGTGCAGCATGGCCAAGGGGACCCAGCACTCCAACGAGCCCATGCTCATGCCCACCCCTGCAGCTCCCTAAGGAGGGACAAACAATCGTTACCGTCTCTCTCTTGAGCTTCTCCCGCTTGCGTATCAGCTCCACCAGCAAGCGCGCGCGCTCTAGGTCATGGCGGAGGCGCTGCCATGACTTCAGCTGCTCCTTCAGGGCCCAGTTCTTATCCTCAGTGTCTCTCTGTGGGAACATCAGAGACTGTGAGCTGATAGGAGATGTGTTCCTATCACCAACTTCCTGACCTGTGTAGGCCTGATCTGCTGGTTCAGCGAAGGTCCTGCTTCCCTTCTTGTAACCTAGGAGGGTGACTCAGAAACAGTTTGACCTCTGGCCAGAGCTCAGTACCTCCTCCTTGGTCCCCAAGCCCTCAGGATGCCAGGAGGCAGACATCCAGAGCCTCTGGAAATCCTCTTCCTAACACCACCAACTGCCTGCAGCTGCTTAACAGCACAGATCCACAACACCAGGGTCTGTGCAGCTGCTCAGAGCAGCAGCGAAGGGCAAGAGGGCAAAAAGGGAACACAGCTCTCATTGCTTTCACTTCTGGAGTATTAAAAAACACCGACTTTTATTTTGCCATAGCCAAAGATGAGCAGAAGTAGTCTCAACTCTTCTCCAGCAAACAAAAGTCAGAGGAGGGCAAAGGCAGGAGAAACCTTTGCTTGATTACAGTCTTCAAAGGGCTCAGAAAGACGCAGAACTCAGAAGAGAGCCAGGAGAAAAATCTTCCTTTCTGGCACCGGAGACTCCACATCTGTGAAGCGCTGACTAAGGGCTGAGACAGACGCTGGGCTGGAAGCAGCACCCACAGGGAGTGCTCCTGGAGCCCTTTCACAGACTGGAACCGTGGTTCCTTCCCGAGCGTTTCTGGAGATCTCCAGCCATTTCGCTCAGCCATCGCTGACACAGCGGCCTCAGCCTAGAGCCAGGTTTTGCCACCGCTACCGGCTAAACGCGGGCACGAGGAAGGAGCTAACCTCTGCGTGGCAGCACAAGAGAGGAGGACTCCTTGCCTGTGGTGAGCTGCCAGCGGCATCACTGCCTGGCAAACCTCTGAGCGCCGAGAGCGGATGAGAAGGTGAAGCAGCAAAAGCGGCTGGGGCTGCCCTTTCCCCATCTGGGAGCTCGTACCCCTGCCCACACCCCCTTCTGCGCCTGCAGGCACCACATGCAGCAAAGGCTTTGAGCCCACAGCTCTGAAGGCTCAGGAAGCGAATGTGTGCACACCTGGGACACCCTGGGATGCCCCACAGCACCCCCATGAGCAGCTCTTACCTGGTCGCAGTTTCTCTGTGACTGCAAATGCGTCTGAAGGCGGCGGAGCAGGGGGACGCCGTTGCGGGACTGCCTCTTCAGAGTCCAGTAGCTGTGCAGCCTCTGCATGAACTGGCTCTTCCTCTGGATGGTCAAACGGTTCGTAATCTTGCTGAGCCTGAAGAAGGAAGAGGACCCCAGACCCCATCAACAAGGGAGACATCTAGCCTTGCCTCTCCGAAACAGCCTTTTCCTTTCCTGCCAAATTTCAGGCAAAAGCCTGGGCCAGACTGTACCGAGTCAGAGTGCAACACAACCAAACTGGGGGCTGGGCCTTTAACAGCTCCCACAGTCCCCAAGACCACAAGTGTTTGGCACTGCTACCCCAAAATCATAATTTACCAGATAAAGGACTGCCTATGGGGAAAAAGGCCCTGGCCAAACGTTACCAGACAAACCTGAGACCCGAGGAGCCAGAGCTCCTATCCAAGATAACGAAGGACCCCCCTAAACAGCCCAAAACACCACAAAAGGGGATTTTCCTCCTCTCTAAAACAGCAGAAAGCCTGAAGGAGCCAGGACAGCCTCGTCCAGCATGGGCAGACAGAAGTGCCCTGCTAGCGGGCAGCTGAAGCCCCTGCATCTCCACATCTCACAGGGACAGCTCCTTGCAGAGGACGACCCGACCTGCTTCATCCTCAGCTGCAGAGGCTGGGGAGAGCAGCCTCGTGTGCCATCACTGGCCAAACACAGCTCCCACAGGAAGACATTTGGCATTTTGGCAGCAGCCCTTGAAGAATAATTAATCCCAACAGGAAGGCCTGGGGAGAGGTTAACAGCTTCCAGCTCAGTGTGCGTTTTGCTGTGAGCACAACGATAGCAGCAAGAGCCTGCAAAGCGTTTGCCAACGCGTCCACGCAGGAGAAAAGAGGCTCTGGCTCCAGAGCAAACCCCGCGTGAGCCGTAACATCGGAGTGGGACACAAAAAGACCATGGCGAAAAGCCAGTGGCGGCGTAGCAGAGTCCTGCCTCCACGAGTCACCAGGACGCTGCCCTGAGAGCAAAGCCCACGGTTTCTGCATGCTCCCCTCTGACTGCACGGGAGCCCCGATGGTCTCGAGGGTCGGCCCACGTCCCTGTGCCATCACAGCTGCGCTCAACGTGCCAACAAGTCTGCCACCAGGGCATCACGGGGTGACACCCCTGGCTCAGCTCCCACTGTGGGTAGGAGGAGAGCTCAGCAGCTCAGGGCTGGTGTCTTCCAACCACAATCACAGAATCACAGAATCCCAGACCGTTAGGGATTGGAAGGGACCTCCAAAGCTCATCCAGCCCAATCCCCCTGCCGGAGCAGGAACACCCAGATGAGGTTACACAGGAAGGCGTCCAGGCGGGTTTTGAATGTCTGCAGAGAAGGAGACTCCACAAACTCTCTGGGCAGACTGGGCCATGCCCTGTCACCCTCACTGAGAAGAAGTTTCTTCTCCAATTTCAGTGGAACCTCCTGTGTTCCAGTTTGTGTCCGTTACCCCTTGTCCTATCATTGTTTGTCACCGAGAAGAGCCTGGCTCCATCCTCGTGACACTCACCCTTTAAATATTTATCAACATGAATGAGGTCTCCCCTCAGTCTCCTCTTCTGCAAACTAAAGAGCCCCAGCTCCCTCAGCCGCTCCTCATAAGGGAGATGCTCCACTCCCCTGATCATCTTTGTAGCCCTGCTGGACTCTCTCCAGCAGTTCCTGTCCTTCTTGAACTGAGGGGCGAACGCTTCTGTGCCCAACCTGCACTTTGACCGTGCAACGCCTGCTGCAGGGCAACGGCAGGATCCAAAACCATCCTACGATGCTTCTATGTCCTTTTGCGTGCTGCTGAGGATACCCAGAGTTATCAACTGCACTGACAAATTTTGGCAAGGCTCTCAGATCCTCGTTTCAGCATTTGCACACCGGCGTGATGATCAGTACCTTCCTGACAGCCCCTGTGATGAGATATGAGACCTCTCTGCTCCAGAGCCCAAACAACCCCAGGGTTCGCCCATTTTCCAGGCCTGAGTCGCTCCTGCACTTCCCAGCAGGTCCAGTCCCCTTTTCCCTCAGTATAAAGGAGAGCAGCTCCCTCCTCCCTCCCTGTTTTATTCCAGCGCCCAAGCTCAGCACAGCAGGACAGGAACACTGGGAACCCCCAGCTGCTTCCTGACACGTCTGGCTGAGTTCACTCTCTGCCGTTAAACTACCAGCAGCTACTTCCTGCCCCGCTGAGGGCTCGGGCACCTTTGCGGGGCAGAGCATTGCCCTGCCTCGCTGCAGGACTCCAGAGGAAACCACCAACAGCGAGAACAAAGCAACAAATACCTGGGTGAAAAGGTACAGAGAGGAACAAGGTAACACCTCCATAGAAAACGGGACGTGAGACATGGAGAAAGGAGAGAAGTTTCTCCACAGCCCAGGGAGGGCAGCGGGTCATACCTGTGCGGGGGGATGCAGGGCACAGAAACCACGGGTGCAGCGGCTCGTTTCTCCGCCAGGATCTTCCGTGCCTTCTTCATCTTGATCCTAGACTTGGCCTTTGCTTTTTTGACTTTCTCAGAGCTCCAGCCCTTTCCCTCCTCCTCCTCCTCCTCGTCCTCCTCTTCCCCCTCGCTGTGGGAGAGGGCGGGAAGCCTGCGCACGGAGCCTGGCGGGGTGTGGATGTCGCAGTAGGCGGTTTTGCGCACGCTGAAGGAGGTGCCGTTGGCCCCCGTCTCCCGGACGGGCTCCATCTTCATGTAGAGCCCGGCCTGCTGGGCACAGGTGACATGGAAGGCAGTGTAGCAGTTGGCTTTGTGACACTGGATGCAAGCCCCGGAGCCACGCTGCTTGCAAATGTAACAGGTCAGCTTCCAGCGGGCGGGCGGGATGTGTTCGATGCTGTCGATGGGCTCCAGGAAGACGGTGTTGGCAAAGCAAACCTCCGGGATCCAGAGGGCGCAGACCACGTGTGCCCAGCGCCCGTCGTCCGTCTGCTTGAAGGCCCCCCCCTTGTTTGGGCAGAGGGCGCAGTCCACGGCTCGCGAGGGTGACTGCAGGCACCGTCTGCAAAGCCACTGTCCCTCGGGGATGTAGGGCACCCCGTAGCACTCCTGGTGCACGGCCAGGTTGCACATGTCGCAGAAGAGGATGACGTTGCTGTTCTGGCACTCCCCGTCGTTGCAGATGCAACAGACGGCGTCCTCGTCCACCAAGGTGTTCGGATCGCCCTTGTTGTGGCTCTCAAAGTAGGACTCCTTCTCCAGCCGGTCCATCAGGTACTCAAAGATCTCCTGGGGAATGGGGCTGACGCCTTCGGTCTTCCGCCGCTCGTTCATGATGTCCAGCCAGATGTAATCTTCCTCGTCCATGTCGTACTCCACCTCCTCATCCAGCTCCTCCGCCGACTTCTCGATGTACCTGGAAGGGCAGCACAGGAGGGTGAGGGCATGGCTGGGAGGGGTTGCTCGCAGCTGCCGAGCCCCAACTCCCGCAGGCTGGGGCTGGAGGAAGGTTTAAACGCTACAGCCAAGCCGTAAGTTAAAATAAACTTAAAAAATAAATGGGGATGAGGGAGAAACACGCAGAACCGGGAGAAGGAGCGCGGCGGCACAACAGCGCACCAGGCACGACACAGACAAAATAACCCTCGACTAATGGGCAACGCAGGGGCCTTGGGGACTCATCAGCACAAGATGGGAGCCCGCACGAGCCACCACGCAGGTGCCAGAAGCTCTGGGGACAGTGGCCTCACACCCAAGACACAACGGCAACCAAGCACAGAGGCACCTCATGTTGTTAATCCTGGCGAGGGCGGCTGCGCCCTCTTCACCTTCCCTGCCAGTTGCGGGTGAGGGGATGTTATTCAGAGAGGAAAGAGCTGGAAGGCCGAGGCTGCTGCTCCAGCAACCGCCTCCCACCCTCGCAATGAATGGCACCATCAGCACCCCAGGGAGAGGCTTCTTTTCCAAAATAACGTCCCCTGGAATGTGATGCCGGTTTCTTAGGGCACGTGGCAACAAGGAAGGCAGGGCTGGCCACACAAGCATAACTTTGGTTTGGCGCTAACTCCCTGCTTGAGGTGTTATTTGAGGCCAAACCACTCGTGGCAAACCGTAAGACAGCAAAGAAAATGAAGCCCGAAAACAGACACATCTTACGGGTAAACCTCAGCGCTGGGGTGCTCTAGAGCTATCCCAGCACACCTCTGCCGAGCAGTGGGGGAGGCAGGACACGTTAGTTTTTTGTAATAACTGTACCTGCCGTCCCAAGAAGGAAAGAGCACAGCAATCCAACTGCCGGCAATGACCGAGCATCGATCGAGCGCTCTGGAGCCCTCAAAACCAAGACCCGACACCAGACAGAGCTTCAAGAGCCTGAAGCCACGAGACAGCCAGCTCTGCTGGACCCAGGAGAGGCAGACGGAGGCCGTTTCCATGAGCCATGGCCAAGCCGCCCACACAGAGCGGGGCCAATTCCGCCTCCAGACCCAGGGCACGAGCTAAAGCTTCCCGGGAGCCTCCTCGCAGCCCGGTCACGGCCCATACCTGTAGTAAGAGGTGGGGCGAGGTGGGGCGTCGGGGGTGTCCTGCTCCAGCTCCCGGTACACCACCTCGGGGAGCTTAGGGGTGGTGCCGACGGAGGCGTTGTGGTGATGGTGGTTGGAGTCCTTGCGTTTCTCCTTGTTCTTGTGCTTGCCAGATTTGGGCGGGACGCTCTGGGTCTCCGTGTTCTCTTTATTGCTCCCGTTCTCGGGCACCTCCTCGGGGACCTCCTCATCCTCAGACACCACGTCCAGGTTATCGAAGATGCTGATGCGATGGACACGGCCGTGCAGGTCCACCTCAACCATGCGCTGGGCCTGGGCGTAGGTCATCACCTCTCGGCCCGGCGACTGGGAGGTCTCGGAGGGGCTGGGCGACTGCTTGTTGGCAGCGCGGGCCTGGCGCCCCTTCTTCTTGTGCTTGCGCAGGGGGGTGTGCTGGGGCGGGGGGGGGTTGTCGTGGTCATAGTGGTAGAGGTGGTACTCGATCCCGCTGTAGCTCTTGTAGATCTTGCGGCAGGTGCCCACCGGGCACTCGTACGGGGGTTTGGTGGCCCGCAGGTTGTGGCAAAAGGTCTTCACGTCGAAGTCTACGCCCATGGCGTCACC